TTTTCAGGGGATAGTGTTTTGCTGCAAGGGATTGAATTGGGTTTTGTTAACGTACCACTTCATAATATTTATCTTAAGCCTGATTTAGTTACTGGACCTGTTAAAGTGGGTGTTCGACATGAACCTCCGTTTGCGGGCGTCACCTTACTGTTAGGGAATGATTTAGCTGGGGATAAGGTGAGGGCAGACCCAATTGTCTGTGAGGTCCCTCTTGAGGACGAAACCAATCCCGGTAATCCTAATTTATTCCCTGTGTGCGCTCTGTCTCTTATACACATCTTGGAGTGAGGATTGTAAGGTTGCTTTCCTGTCTCTTATACACATCTAGATGTGTATAAGAGACAGCTTGTAGTACAGGCAATAAGCCGAGTGTATCAACAATAACAAGGGAGCAATTGATTGCTGAGCAGGTGGGCGACCCAGAAATTGCTGAATTGGCTAAAAATGCCATAAAGGAGGATGAATTTTCTTTTGTGAGAGTGTGCTTTTTTTTAAGAAACATAGGGTTTTAATGCGAAAATGGCAACCCCTTGATACGGCCTCCAATGAAGATTGGAGGATGCTGACTCAAATTGTGGTACCGAAACCATATCGGAGGGAAATCCTCTCTTTAGCACACGATGGTCCATTAGGTGGACACTTAGGTATTAACAAAACGTATCTAAGATACTTGACCATTTTTATTGGCCTAAATTAAAAAATGATGTTGTCCAATATTGTAAAACCTGTCACCCATGCCAAGTAGTAGGGAAACCAAACCAAAAGATCCCTGCTGCACCACTCAAACCCATTCCAGCATTTGGAGAACCTTTTAGTCGAATCCTTATAAATTGTGTAGGACCCCTTCCAAAAACTAGGACAGGATATCAATACCTTTTAACTATTATGTGTACTTCTACAAGATTCCCTGAGGCCCTTCCCCTCAGAAATATTAAGGCTAAAACCATCATAAAGGCATTAGTCAAATTTTTCACTTGGGTTGGCCTTCCTACTACAATTCAATCTGACCAAGGATCAAATTTTATGTCAGGGGTTTTCCAACAAATAATGCACGAGCTAAAAATTAGCCAAGTGAAATCAAGTGCCTATCATCCTGAATCCCAGGGTGCAATAGAGCGGTTCCATCAAACCTTAAAGAACATGATGCGGACCTACTGCTTTGATAATGAGAAAGATTGGGATGAGGGGGTGCCACTACTTTTGTTTGCTATTCGAGAATCTGTTCAGGATTCTCTGGGCTTTAGCCCTTTTGATCTTGTCTTTGGACACTCTGTGCGGGGCCCTTTGCGAGCCCTGAAAGAGTCTTTAATTGATGGCTCTTCTGTTGTAAATCTTCTCGAGTATGTTTCTAGTTTTAGACAAAAACTTAATGAGGCCTGTGAGCTTGCGCGTACTAACTTAACTGCCGCTCAAAACTAGTTTTGATCGTAAAACTCAGGATAGGAACTTTAATCCAGGGGATAATGTTCTAGCCCTTTTGCCAATTCCTAACTATCCATTACAGGCTAGGTTTTCAGGACCTTTTGTTGTAGAGAAGAAGCTTAGTGATGTAAATTACATTATAGAGACACCAGGAAGGCGAAAGAAAAACCAATTGTGCCACATTAATATGCTTAAATTGTATAACGAAAGAAATGATGAAATTAAACCTCTATGTGCTGCTACTACAGCATTAACTGATTTTTCTACCACAAAGGTAGATAATGATTTAAATGAGCGAGATAATGGTGGTATACATGATTTGAGTACTGATGGTTGTTTGAGACTTCAGAACTCTGATGTCCTTGCTAATTTGGATACAAAGTTTTGTTCACTTGACAGATGATGCTGAAAAATCAGAACTGGAATGTTTGGTGATGAAATATGAACATTTGTTTCCTGATGCGGTTTTTCATGATGTGGATGTTGGTGACGCAAAACCTGTGAAACAACACCCATACCGACTCAATCCCTTAAAGGCGAACTATCTTAAAAAGGAGATTGAGTATATGCTGCAGAACGATATTATAGAACCTAGTTCTAGTGAGTGGAGCTCACCTTGTGTGCTGGTTCCAAAACCTGATGGCTCTTATAGACATTGCACAGATTTCCAGAAAGTGAATGCGGTTACAAAGGCGGATTCCTATCCACTGCCACGGATCGATGACTGTCTGGATAAGCTGGGCAATGCTCGATATGTCAGCAAATTTGACCTTCTCAAGGGATATTGGCAGGTCCCACTCACCGATCGTGCGAAGAATATCTCAGCATTTGTCACTAATGAAGGACTTTACCAATATAAACGAATGCCGTTTGGAATGCGGAATGCACCAGCCACCTTCCAACGACTTCTTAATAGCGTAATTGCTGATATTGATGGTTACGAAGGTTACATTGATGATGTGATCATATACAGCAACTCTTGGCAAGATCATCTCAGAACTATCACCATTTTTTTTATAAGCTATCGGAGATGAAACTGACGGTGAATCTTGTCAAATGTGAGTTTTGCCATGGAATAGTGGATTTCTTGGGTTACTCTGTGGGACAAGGCCAAGTAAAACCAATCCAAGTTAAAGCAAAGGCAATTTCGGACTTTCCCACGCCGAAAAACAGAAAGGAACTCATGCGCTTTCTTGGAATGGCAGGATACTGTAGGCGATTTTGTAAAAACTTTTCTATCATTGCCCAACCCCTTACTGCACTTCTGAAAAAGAAGGCTAAATTTCTGTGGAGTGAGGATTGTAAGGTTGCTTTCCATAAAATAAAAGCAATACTTAATTGCTCCCCTGTACTCATCGCTCCAGACTTTGAGAAACAATTTCATTTGTATGTTGATGCGAGTGATAGAGGGTCAGGGGCAGTTTTAATGCAGATTGGTGATGATGGCGTACATCATCCACTTTGCTATTTTT